ATGTCAAACCCCGTACCATTGTCCACGACCGCCTATATGGTACATCGTGTCACAAGGTGTTTCCCGCTCCCAGAGAGCACGGCATATTCGTAAATTCCGCGAAGGAATTAAACCAGCATATGATAGCATCGTACCAGGACAATACGAAGGAAAGGGTAACCAAACCAAAGAAGAGCACTGCAAGATCCCAGTACCGCAAATACTAAACCATCAACAGCAAAGAAGCCTGCAGGTGAGCAGCAAGGGAGAGAGAAAGAGCCAGACTACCTTCAAGGTTACACACCCCGATGTGAAATAGCTATCAGCAGAGCTGTCCATAAACTAGCAGCCAAGAAGGAGTTGGATGTGAACTCATCCAGCCGCCTGGCAGCGGAACTGCCGATCTACACCGGCATGATGCGGGTAGTAATGACCCCAGAGGTTGTCAGCTTCAGCCATGACATCAAGAGCCATGTCCACTACACACGTCAGCCACTGGAACGACTCATACCAAGTCATTATATGCTCGGACGTTGAGGTGGAAGCTCTGTTTGCCTACATCACCCCCAATGGGACCGGTCCTGGTGCCTCGAGACCTCCAGACCCTTCCATGTAGTCGATTCGACATGTCTAACTACTTGGACATACTCTCCACCAGGGCAGCCGTGGATCTCCACCACTTTGACGCACAAAGTGGCCCTGATGACGAGGGGGGGTTCTTTACGCCAGAGCAGCTCGACAAGAATCCAGCACCCTGTCGATAGATGCTGGGTTTCTTTAATGTATAGGGAACTAATGATAGTGATGAAGATTATAAACGTGAGTGTTAGGGGGGATCCAACGTGCTTTGCCGGTGGGCGGCGCAGCCCGCGAGCGCAGCGCTGCCGAGAGGGGTTCTCTTTTTTATTTGGCTAAATAGGGTAATGGTGAAGCTTTTGATGAACCGACAATTCATGTATCTGAAATTTTGAAGATGGTGAGGAAAGTCAGCCTGCCATGTGATGTACAGCCTTGCTTAGTTATCAAGTACGGTGGATTGTGAAGTGCAGTTTTCAGGGCGGAGCATGGGGACCACTCAGTGTGGGCGAAGTTGCACCTCGTAGACAAAGAAGCCCAGCTCATATGGAGAGGGAACGCTCCAAGCAGGCATATTAGGACATCAAACACCACGCCAGAAACAAGTTGAGTTATAGACACGATGTCCGCCAGAGTGATAACGTGGTAAGTTATGGACAAGCGGCCGTGGTGAGGGACTACGCCAGGCATGATTGATGGAGGAAGAATTCTACTACGGTCCTGGGGCACCTGTCAGACTATATATTACGATTAATTAGGGGCGTTACTAGCGCCGTTCGGAGGCCATTACATTGCCTTGTCAACCCTGTCAGTCACATCCTTTCCCACCAATTGAATGCTGATGTATACCTCTTTATCACCCTTTCACCACTATCACCACCATCAACATGCATGGCGAATCGAAATTCCTCTGGTCCACAAGCACAGCCACAGTCACAGCCCGATATATCTGCCCTAGTCGGATCTTCCTGTACCCACACTCACGCCTATACTGCAGCCAACGACGACGAAGTAAAACAAGCCACCAAGCGTACCCAGTACGCGGGCTGAACAAGTCAGTGTCATCACGGACGGCCTCGCACAGGCTCAGCGCCGCCAGCGGTGAGCCGAGCGCGACGAGATCTTGAATCGGGGACTCGACAAATTCGATGCTGGATTTGCCCGACTCAATGCCTAAAGGGCAACAATGGACAGGAGTTCTGGTCAAGATGAACGAGGGATCGACTCTGCTGAACACGAGATTTGACCAACTCGCCCCAAAATAGACGCGAGAGACGCGAGGTCTGATCAAGCGTTTACTCAGAGAGACGTGAGGTTTGACCAAATGAATCACAGCCACGACCACAAAGTCGAAACTCTTGCGAATACTCACACTCATACTCATACTCTGGCTCTTTGAAACAAGATCAAGTAAAGGACGAGTAACGGATCCAGTGAGGCCTCGAGTGATCACCAATCCAGTCCAGGGCGTTGAGTTGTGTTGTGTGTTAGGTTTGATTGACCTACGACGACAACGACGACGTCATCAACACCCGAAGATATTCCTACTAGGAGACCGATGACAAGACGCCTATTTAAGTCTTTCATCAGGTCTTGATCTGAACCGGATTGATTATCCTGCAACCCTACTGTTGGGGGGGGGGGGTTCCCTCGCCACCAGCTTCGTGGACTGCACTGTTGTGGTGGAACAAACCGTGTTTAACAACGTTAAGACGGGCGGCGCCGAGGAAGGGAATGGCCATGGGAATGGGAGGGCCATTGATCAGGCAATTTGAATTTTGGGCGGGATTCTGCTACAACATATCCTACTGAGATATACGGCATTGAGTAATAGGAGGGCTTCAAATCAGTAAAATGAAGCCAATTGAATCACCATCAGAGAATGATTCCATACCCATACCAAAGAATCTACAAGACTAGTATCACGAAGACACATGGTGTGCGCCGCGTTGAGGGCTCCGAAGGCTATCGTATCAGTGAATGATCTTGATATTTGGGCGGGATCCCAAACGGAAACATTACATTATTTTACTTTACTTTGCGGAATCAATGCTAAGACCTGCTTTCTGTCGTTTCTTTTTCTTTACTTTTTCTTTTCCTCTTTTAGTCTAGATTGCGAGTCCCAAGTGGTGGTTCTATGGTCCGTGATATTTCATGTACATTCCATCCTGTGGCGTGAGGTATATTGCCTACCTGGCACGCTGGGAAGGGATGGGAAAGGACGCTTCTTGTATCCTTTGCGCAGATGGATCTATCGCGCCGCACAGTGATTTCATTCCTCCCATCTCACAAAGGCTGAGGCTGAGAGGCTAACCGAGAGACATGGCATGGCAGATAAAGCCTCGAACAACACCTCTGCTTACCCGCTTACTCTCTCCCCAGTCTCTCTTTGTCATCCGCCGTCATTTCATATGCGGGCTTGTACCGTTCCTCCCCGTGTTCGTCCGTGTACCGCAACTTCGGATTCCTGACCGTGTCATTCACTCCTCCTAGACTCGTGTAGCCCGCGTCATACACTTCACAGTACCTCAGGGGGGCGGTCGTCGCGGTACATATGGTGGTTCCTGGCTCTGCAGCTCCTCCGCCCTCGCTCGCGCCGCTGCAACCGTTCGAACAAGACCCAATGTCCCTGAGATGCGGGGAGCGCAGGAAGCACCAGATCTCCGAAAGGTGCCAGTCAATCACCGGGTGGATGCGCATGAACGGCGGCCAATTGTGGTCGGTCGGGTCAAAGTGTGTCAAATGAGACCCGTGCGGGTCGGTGCGCCGGGTGCCCACGAATATGGCCTTGATGTGCGGATTGGATGAGAGGTATAGGGCAAAGGCGTCGCGGAAGGTGATGATTGGTTTGTCCAGGGTCTTTTGGTACGAGTTGGTGTGGTTGGTGTTGTTGGCGTTGGTCTTCTTCCCGTTGTTTGAGAGATCACCTCCACCACCTCCGTCTGGTCCTAAAGAGTCCACGGGAAGTGGTGGGCCGGGCGGATTGGAATGCGACTTCTGTCTCTTGTCCGGGCCGGGATTTGTGGATATGTGGGTTAAGTCGAGATGGTAGAGGCGGGCAGAATAGTCGACAAAGTCGGACACAGCGGGGAAGGGATCCGGCGGTTTTGCGTAAATCGAGGGAATGGACTTGGGGAACTCTTTCCGCCTGTTCTTGGGTTGCGTGAAATGTATATGGATGACGGCGAGGTACAGGACGAGAAGAACCAGGCAATCTTTGCCCCCGTTATAGGAGAGAGACAGGCTCTCGAATCTATGTTCGTAGTGCACAAACAACGGGTCAGATCTCATAAAGACGGACGCGGAGGGTCGGCGGGGCTAAATTATGGCTCACTCATATTCGTCCAGCGCCTTTTCTATAACTCGCATGGATATTCTCGCTTGCTCTTGTGTTTTCCTCGTCACATCATCTTCAGGAGCGGCCGAGAGGAACGAAGCGACCTGTGCATGGAGAAGGGCACAGACTTCCTGCAACGAGTGGGAGATGGGAGCGGGCGACGAAGGTACATCAGCTTCTCCATTGACCAAGACCGAGGCGAGGGTTCCATTGGTCATGGGGGCTTTGGGCGGCAGCGATGTGGTGTTCATAATGGCGACGACATGTATAGGAGGACGACGTGGTAAGAGACCGGCGAAAGAAAGAGACAGTCCAGTGTACGAGTAGAGCGAGAGGGAGAGAGAGAGAGGGACCGAGTTTTGCCTCGAAGTTTGAGAAGCCGAAAGAAATCTAGAAATCGGAGAAAATGGATGGTGTGGGGGAATCCCCGGGGCTTTGATACGTACGAGGCTTTCTCTGGCCCGGTCTGTGGCCTTTGAACCCTGAAAGTATTTCCCAAGGGTGCCACGGGTATTTACGAAGTAGAGTTTGTACTCATATGATCCTTGCCGAGTTACGAGTTCCCAAGGCTGACACGAACTGCTGCCGGGAGGCTGCGTCCCCGTCGTTGACCGAAGCCGGTAGAATAGACTCTGTCACCACCTCTATTCACCACCATGACTTGTTTCCATTGATCCGTCTCGGATCTTAGCCCCACCATCTATTCTCTGCGCCGAGGCAAGTTCATATCCTACCAATAATGTCGTTCAAGACATCAGCAACTTCATCCACGCTTTTCAACACTTGGGATGAATTCGTAGTCGGCACTCTGTGTGCTTGGAGACTGTTGAACTGTATTTAACCCACTGTTTTGTCAATGTTGCGGCTGACGATTGGTAGCAGATGAAACTGTACGGTTGTCAGGAAGGTCGTTCATCCTTACACTTCCCAGACTAAAATGTTCATATTCCGAGCATGGCATGGCATGCTCATTCCGCCTCTCACGATTGCAAATATCGCCAATTCCCCGTACCCTTCCATCATGCGCCAGTAATCGTGGTACATCCAAGGTCCGCCGCCTCGTTATGTTCATGCCGATAAACAAACCTGTCTCCATCGAGCAAAGCCATCAGCCCAGGACCTTCATCTTCTTTTTCTTCTTGCCCTCCTCGCCCTTTTTGGCGCCCTTTTGGAAATCGCGCCAACTCCCTATTCGCTGCTCTCTGGTTTCCTCCCAATCTTTCTCATGGTCACGCTTTCGCTTTCTCTCCTCCAACTGCGCGTCCTCTTTCGCCTTCTCACGACCCTCTTCTTGCATTCTCGCCTTCATCTGTCGCCGCCTCCGAGCCTCTGCTTCTACCAGTACTTCGACCGTCTTTTTTCGCCATTCCTGCTTGAATTCCTCTGTTTTTAGCTCCTCAGAGTCCACAGTGTACTTGTGCTGTCTGATCAACAGTTGTCTTGCATCTGCGATGCATTCATCAAGGTGCTGACGTTGCTTCTCATCCAGTAATGCAGTTTGTGCTTTCTTGAGCCGGTCAAAGGCTTCCGGGGCCGAAGGATTTTTGGTCTTGTCCGGGTGAATTAGTAAAGACTTCTTGCGATAAACGACCTTGATGTCTGATTCAGGTACTCCGGGTTGGAGGTCTAGTACTGCGTAGCTGCGAATGGGTCAACGGCTGACAAGCGGACCAGGAGTGGCACAAAACTTACGCATCGAGTCTAAAGGCATTGAGGATACGATCGATCTCTGCGTCCTGTAACCGATGTCAGCCAAATATTCCTTACGTAGGTCAAGGACACACACCTTGTCATATTCCTTCGCTTCTTTCTCAAGTACATCGAGAGCATCGGACTCATCATTAGCCATGGCGGGCTGATAGTATATAGCTTACCGATGACTGTCAGGATCTTCACCTCTTGGTGACAATGTATGTGTCAAAAGCGAGCGACTTTATGAGAGGGGGAAGAAATTTTGCCCAAGGCACGGAATGCTGATCAGGCGCAGTTACAGTGGTAATTACTTCGTTGGGAACAAGGTGCGACAATGGCGCAGAGACAGCAATACAACAGGACAAGGCGGCCACCAGACTCTCCTCCGCTCTGCTTGATAAGGAAGCTGTTCCGACAAGGGTTGCCGAAGTTCTCCCGTTTATCGATAACACATCTCATCATGTGACCACAAAACAATTTGAGCCGCAGCCAGTCCTGGCAGAAATCCATTCGTCAATTGTCCCAGCCAAAGTTTTCACATTGCTGCGATGGGGTCCCAGGGGTATCGGAGGGGGACAAAGGGCCCGAGGAAAGATTTTCAGAGGCCTAGGGCACTCAAACGGAAACGAGAAGAGGAAGATCTCGAGGCCCTCGCTCAACGGGTAGCCAACTTCGATCCAAAATCTGCGCCTCCGCCAGAGAACTTTGTCGACCTCCCACTATGTCAAGCGACTCAAGACGGTCTCGCAGCTTCTCACTTCAAAATCTTGACGACCATCCAGAGCAGGACCATCCCGCTGGCATTGCAGGGTGCGGATATCTTGGGCGCAGCAAAAACGGGCTCAGGGAAGACACTGGCATTTCTGGTACCTGTCCTAGAGAACTTGTACCGCAAAAGATGGACCGAATACGATGGCCTGGGGGCGCTGATACTCTCTCCCACCCGAGAATTAGCCATTCAGATCTTCGAGGTGCTGCGGAAAGTTGGCCGCAACCACACTTTCTCTGCTGGTTTGGTGATCGGGGGCAAAAGTCTACAGGAGGAGAGAGAACGACTGGGACGTATGAACATTCTGGTGGCCACGCCTGGGAGAATGCTACAGCACATGGATCAGACAGCGGAATTGGACATTGGAAATTTACAGATGCTGGTATTGGACGAGGCGGACAGAATCATGGACATGGGGTTCAAGCAGACCATCGACGCTCTCCTCGAGCATCTTCCACGGGACAGGCAAACTCTCATGTTCAGCGCTACCCAGACTAAGAAGGTCTCTGATCTTGCTAGACTGAATCTGAAAGACCCCGAATTTGTCTCCGTCCACGAAGCCGCCGATAGCGCCACGCCTACGTCTCTACAACAGAACTATGTCGTCACTCCGCTGGCAGATAAGCTCGATACCTTGTGGTCCTTCATTCGTGCAAACGTCAAAAAGAAGATTCTGGTCTTCCTGAGCAGCGGCAAGCAGGTTCGTTTTGTGTACGAGGCATTCCGGCACCTTCAGCCTGGTATTCCCTTGCTTCACCTGCATGGGCGGCAAAAACAGACGGCGCGGGTTGAGATCACCACGAAATACTCAAACAGTAAATATGTGTGCTTGTTCTCAACAGACGTGGCTGCCCGCGGATTGGACTTTCCTGCTGTTGACTGGGTTGTCCAGGTCGACTGTCCGGAAGACGCTGACACTTATATTCACCGAGTCGGGCGAACGGCAAGGTTTGAGCACGATGGCCGGGCTGTTTTATTCCTTGACCCGAGCGAAGAAGACGGTATGCTGAATGCGCTAGCAAAAAAGAAAGTTAGCTTGGAGAAGATCAATGTGCGGCAAAAGAAAATGCAACAAACCATCCGGAACCAGTTACAGAATATGTGTTTCAAGGATCCCGAACTGAAGTACTTGGGACAGAAAGCCTTCATCAGCTACGTGCGCAGTGTCCATGTCCAGAAGGATAAGGAGACATTCAACCTGAAAAAGCTCGACTTGGAAGCCTTTGCGGCGAGCCTGGGCCTTCCCGGCGCACCTCGCGTCAAATTCGTCAAGGGAGAGGATGCAAAGGCCAAGAAGAATGCCCCGAGACAACTCCTGGCTGCCCTGGAGTCGAGTAGCGAAGATAGTGATGCTGAAGGCGAGGCGCGGTCGAAACAAAAAAGGAACGGGGGTGTCAGGACGAAGTACGACCGGATGTTCGAGCGGCGCAACCAGGACGTCTTGGCGGAGCATTACACGAAGCTGATTGAAGACGACGAGGATGACAACGGCAGCGACGACGATGGAGAAAGAATAAAGGCAGAAAACAAGGCCGCTCCCAGTGACGAGGTGGACGATTTTCTCTCGGTGAAACGCCGCTTCGTTGCTGGCGACTCAGATCTCGACCAGGATAGCGACAGCGACTCTTCCTCAGCGAAAGGAAACTCAGACTCCAGAGCTTCCCTCGAATTAAAAACCATCAAACTCTCCACCAACCCAGACGCTCCGGCCCTCAAAATCGACTCGCACCGGCGCGAGAAGCTGCTCGCCTCGAAGAAGAAGCTCCTCAAGTACCGCGGCAGGGGGGCGCACCTCACGTTCGACTCGGACAGCGACACGCCCAAGGACAAGAAAGCGTACCGCGACGAAAGCGAGTTCACGGCGGCCGAGGAGGAGAGACGAGCGTTCTTGGAGCGCGAGGCCGAGAGGGCGAGGGAGGCGGATGCAGTCGACAAGGAGATCGCGAAGGGCAAGAGGCGCGAGAAGAAGGAGAAACGGAAGGAGAGAGAGAGACAGCAGCAGCAACAGCAGCGCATGGAGTCTACTAGGGACGGAGATGTCGAGGGAGACGGTGTCCAACTCGTTCCGTACGAGGGTGATCTCGATGTCGACGCAGAAGACGATGGACCTCTTCGACTCGACTCCTCTGCCGAACCTGAACCTGAACCGAAACGTCAGAGGAAATGGTTCCAAGACTCGCCGTCCGCGTCCGACAACGACGATGAGCACCATAATCGGGAGAAGAAGAAGACAAAACGCCCAAAGAAAAACAAGCGCGGCACCACCGCGCAGCAGCAGCAGCAACCACAGACGCTGGAGGATCTCGAGGCTTTGGCCACTGGTCTTCTCGCGACTACTGGGTAGTAGGAAAGCGGAGGACAGAGAGCTCACACCGAGTACCCATATGTGTGCGTGTACATACATATATCTTGTGTGCCGTGCTATGTATGCTGTATCTTTCGATTCCATGGTCGTTTCCTATACCTAGCACCTAATAAAATTTGAAGCAAAGCCGGATGATCAATGTTCTACCCATCCATTATCACAACGAATATGAAAAAAAAGAAAAAATCCCGTTACGCAACCTTTATGGTTTTTCAAAATGGAAAATTAAATCTGTTTCTGCTTTCTTTATGTGCCCGCCAGCGAGCGGATTAAGCCCCGTTGCCCATTCCCATCATTGTTCGTCCCAATTAAAAGAGGCCGTTACAATCGTATTTCATTCAATCGACAAAAAGGCCCCCCAACCAATGTTCTCTGCGTTCCCAGGGATGGCACATGCCGTGCCATGTTCCCGAGTCGCTAAATGCCCTGTTTATCATCATTATCGGGTTCTTTTCGCCATAATAGATCCGTCAATCGACAGAGAGGCCGAGATCTCGTTCAGGGTAACGGTCTGTCGTAGCAGACCGTCTCCTGACATGGGTGGTTTGACCGACTTCTCCCTTGCCATTTACTCGAGGTGGATCGGTCTGGCGATGGTGCCATGTTTGCGAATGTCTTCTTGTGAGGCTATGTACAAATAACAATCCTGCCACAAAGGGAAAAAAAAGCTCGTGGATCTTTGCTCGTTGCATCCGGGATATCGTATTGTGACAAAGGCCCCCGTCAACTGGGCTTCATGGCACACTACGCGGGCTGGCCTCGCGATGCTGACCGATTTCATGTAGATTCTATCTTGTACTGTTGACCAATTTGTGTATAGATCGGGTATCGAAAAAGCATCGATATGAGATTCGTTGCGTTCCGGGGGGTCGAAAAAAATCGACTTTGGACGCCGCCCAACTTGGTTTGTCTCGTTGGAATTATCCCTCTTTTTTTCCGAAAAGAGGCACGTAGGGTTTTTCTTCTGCCGTTGCTCATTCTCTTTGCGTCCGTTAAAAAAGGTACAAATCCGTTCCCGTGTCCTGCACGGAGCATCTTTTGTACCCGATTAAGAATAGTTGTACAAGAAATTTGAAAATTGAGAGAAAAAACAGAAGAATATGCTCCAGCTTTACCCACCCAGGTGCTCGTTGCTTCATTCGACAAAGGAAAAGGGCCTCGTATGATATGCGCGATCATTGCGATGGTGATTCTTGTGCGTGTCCCGGTCCCGTCATACACGTGAGGGGGGCCGTCCGAATCATTCATTTCGTGGACCCAGGATGCCCTGGATGTCCATCTTCGGTCTTTTTGGATCTGGCTCTTGTGTTCCTTCACTTCTGTTTCCCTGCTGTCCTCGTGGGTTCGGCAGAGTTTGTTGCGGAAGCTGCTGCACAATCGCTGGGTCGATTGGACCTTGAGGTGCTGGGAGGATCGGTGGTAGCTGAAGACCGGAGGATGTGCTCATGGGGGGCAGCTGTTCGGAGGACAAGGATGATGAAGGGCGTGGAAAGATAGGGTTCGAAGGGTAATATCCATGAGGTCCCACTTGCGGTTGCTGGGACGGGTAGTTGTAGCTACTGGCATACCCTAGCGTTCGGAAGGCCGATTCTGGTTGAGAAGGGCTGTAGGACGAGGAGACCTGTCCTGGCATTGGAGCCATGCTGCCATGATATTGTCTCGACGAGGCAGGCACAAATGTCCCTTCTGCCATTGCCAGACTCGGTGATATCGATGCCGGGCCGTGTAAAGTGAAGGCTGGTGATCTCGGCTGCCCCAATCGAGGTGTTGGTGCATTATACGGTCTAAGAGGCTGATATCCTGGTGCTGCGGCATACATTGACGGATCCCCGTATCTCCTCGGGGCTTCCCCTAGACGCCCGGACAAAGGAGTCAGTGTTGCCTCATACTGCCGTCTTGAAGAAGCGTCGTCTGGTTTCAACGGTGGCCGGCCTCTCTTCTTGTGCTCGACATCTTTGCAGGAGTCCTAGAGAAATAGTCATCAGCTCGGTTCAACAGACAGGGAAATTCCACGATCCGCGCA